TTGAGTAGTTGAGTGAGTAGGTGAGTGTGTAGGTGAGTGAGTGTGTGAGTGTGTGGGTGTGTACGTGAGTGTGTGTGTGTGAGTGTGTAGGTGAGTGTGTGAGTGTGTAGGTGAGTGTGTAGGTGAGTGGGTGGGTGAGTGAGTGTATGAGTGTGTGAGTGTGTAGGTGAGTGAGTGAGTGTGTGAGTGTGTAGGTGAGTGGGTGAGTGAGTGAGTGGGTGTGTGGGTGAGTGGGTGTGTGAGTGGGTGAGTGAGTGAGTGGGTGTGTAGGCGAGTGTGTGAGTGTGTAGGTGAGTGTGTGAGTGTGTGGGTGTGTAGGTGAGTGTGTAACTGAGTGTGTGAGTGTGTGGGTGTGTAGGTGAGTGTGTAGGTGAGTGTGTGAGTGTGTGAGTGTGTACTTGAGTGTGTGTGTGTGAGTGTGTAGGTGAGTGTGTAGGTGAGTGAGTGGATGGGTGAGTGTGTGAGTGAGTGAGTGTGTAGGTGAGTGTGTAGGTGAGTGAGTGTTTGAGTGTGTGAGTGTGTGGGTGTGTACGTGAGTGTGTGTGTGTGAGTGTGTAGGTGAGTGTGTGAGTGTGTGAGTGTGTAGGTGAGTAGGTGAGTGTGTAGGTGAGTGTGTAGGTGAGTGTGTAGGTGAGTGTGTGAGTGTGTGAGTGTGTGAGTGTGTGTGTGTGTAGGTGAGTAGGTGAGTAGGTGAGTGTGTAGGTGAGTAGGTGAGTGTGTAGGTGAGTAGGTGAGTAGGTGAGTGTGTAGGTGAGTAGGTGTGTGTGTGTAGGTGAGTGGGTGAATGGGTGAGTGAGTAGGTGAGTCGGTGAGTGTGTAGGTGAGTGAGTATGTGAGTGAGTGAGTAGATGAGTGAGTAGGTGTGTAGGTGAGTGAGTAGGTGAGTAGGTGAGTGAGTAGGTGAGTAGGTGAGTAGGTGAGTGAGTGAGTAGGTGAGTGAATAGGAGAGTGAGTAGGTGAGTGAATAGGAGAGTGAGTGAGTAGGTGAGTGAGTAGGTGAGTGAGTCGGTGAGTGTGTAGGTGAGTGTGTGAGTGTGTAGGTGAGTAGGTGAGTGAGTGTGTAGGTGAGTATGTGAGTGTGTAGGTGAGTATGTGAGTGTGTGAGTGAGTAGGTGAGTGTGTGAGTGTGTAGGTGAGTATGTGAGTGTGTGAGTGAGTAGGTGAGTGAGTGAGTGTGTAGGTGAGTATGTGAGTGTGTGAGTGAGTAGGTGAGTGAGTGAGTGTGTAGGTGAGTGAGTGAGTGTGTAGGTGAGTAGGTGAGTGTGTAGGTGAGTGTGTAGGTGAGTGAGTAGGTGAGTGAGTAGGTGAGTAGGTGAGTGTGTAGGTGAGTGTGTGAGTGTGTGAGTGTGTACGTGAGTAGGTGAGTATGTAGGTGTGTAGATGAGTGGGTGAGTAAGTAGGTGAGTAGGTGAGTGTATAGGTGAGTGTGAGTTGGTGAGTGAGTTGGAGAGGTGGTGAGTGAGTTGGTGAGTGAGTTGGTGAGTTGGTGAGTGAGTAGGTGAGTGAGTGTGTGAGTGAGTGAGTGAATCAGTGAGTGAGTGAGTGGGTGAATCAGTGAGTGAGTGAGTAAGTGAGTGAGTGTGGTGAGTTAGTGAGTGAGTGAGTGTGTGTGTAGGTGAGTGTGTGTGTGAGGTGTAGGTGAGTATGTAGGTGTGTAGGTGAGTGTGTAGGTGAGTGTGTAGGTGAGTGTGTGAGTTAGTGAGTGAGTGTGTGAGTTAGTGAGTGAGTTAGTGAGTGTGTGAGTTAGTGAGTGTGTGAGTGAGTTAGTGAGTGAGTGTGTGAGTGAGTTAGTGAGTGTGTGAGTGTGTAGGTGAGTGTATGAGTGAGTTAGTGAGTGTGTGAGTGAGTGTATGAGTGTGTAGGTGAGTGTGTGAGTGAGTGAGTTAGTGAGTGTGTAGGTGAGTTAGTGTGTAGGTGAGTGTGTGAGTGAGTGAGTGAGTGTGTGAGTGAGTGAGTTAGTGAGTGAGTGAGTGACCCAGGCACGTGTTCTCAGTGAACGTTGTTCTCAGCTCTTCACATTCTGGGACTAAGTTGGCGCTCCGTATGAGTGTGTAGGTGAGTGTGTGTAGGTGAGTGTGTAGGTGTGTAGGTGAGTGAGTGTATGAGTGAGTTAGTGTGTGAGTGAGTGTGTGAGTGAGTGTGTGAGTGTGCATGTGAGTGAGTGTGTGAGTGTGTAGGTGAGTGAGTGTGTGTGTGAGTGAGTGGGTGAGTGAGTGGGTGAATCAGTGAGTGAGTGAGTTAGTGAGTGAGTTAGTGAGTGCGTGAGTGTGTAGGTGAGTGAGTGTGTGAGTGAGTGAGTGTATGAGTGAGTTAGTGAGTGTGTACGTGAGTGTGTAGGTGTGTAGGTGAGTGAGTGAGTGTGTACGACTGAGTTAGTGAGTTAGTGAGTGAGTGTGTAGGTGAGTGAGTGTGTGAGTGAGTTAGTGTGTAGGTGAGTGTGTAGGTGAGTGTGTAGGTGAGTGAGTGTGTTAGTGAGCCAGGCACGTGTTCTCAGTGAACGTTGTTCTCAGCTCTTCACATTCTGGGACTAAGTTGGCGCTCCGTGTGAGTGTGTAGGTGAGTGTGTAGGTGTGTAGGTGAGTAGGTGAGTTGGTGTGTAGGTGAGTAGGTGAGTGTGTAGGTGAGTTAGTGAGTGAGTGTATGAGTTAGTGAGTTAGTGTGTAGGTGAGTGAGTGAGTTAGTGTGTAGGTGAGTGAGTGTGTGTGTATGTAGGTGAGTGAGTGAGTGTGTGAGTGTGTATGTAGGTGAGTGAGTGAGTGTGTAAGTGAGTGAGTGAGTTAGTGTGTAGGTGTGTTAGTGACCCAGGAACGTGTTCTCAGTGAACGTTGTTCTCAGCTCTTCACATTCTGGGACTAAGTTGGCGCTCCGTGTGAGTGTGTAGGTGTGTAGGTGTGTGAGTGTATGAGTTAGTGAGTGAGTGTGTAGGTGAGTGAGTGGGTGAGTGAGTGTGTATGTGAGTGTGTAGGTGAGTGTGTAGGTGAGTGTGTAGGTGTGTAGGTGTGTAGGTGAGTGTGTTAGTGAGTGTGTGAGTGAGTGAGTGTGTAGGTGAGTGAGTGTGTAAGTGAGTGAGTGAGTGTGTAAGTGAGTGAGTGAGTGTGTAAGTGAGTGAGTGAGTTAGTGAGTTAGTGAGTGAGTGTGTGAGTGACCCAGGAACGTGTTTTCAGTGAACGTTGTTCTCAGCTCTTCACATTCTGGGACTAAGTGGCGCTCCGTGTGAGTGTGTGATGTGAGTGAGTTAGTGAGTGTGTAGGTGAGTGAGTGAGTTAGTGTGTAGGTGAGTGAGTGTGTGTGTATGTAGGTGAGTGAGTGTGTGAGTGTGTATGTAGGTGAGTGAGTGAGTGTGTAGGTGAGTGAGTGAGTTAGTGTGTAGGTGAGTTAGTGAGTGAGTGAGTGTGTAGGTGAGTGTGTGAGTGTGTGAGTGAGTGAGTTAGTGAGTGTGTGAGTTAGTGAGTGTGTGAGTGAGTGAGTTAGTAAGTGTATGAGTTAGTGAGTGTGTGAGTGTGTGAGTTAGTGAGTGTGTGTGTGAGTGAGTGAGTTAGTGAGTGTGTGAGTTAGTGAGTGTGTGAGTGTGTGAGTGAGTGAGTGTGTGAGTTAGTGAGTTAGTGAGTGAGTGAGTGTGTGAGTGAGTGAGTGTATGAGTTAGTGAGTTAGTGAGTGAGTGTGTGAGTGAGTGTGTGTGTATGTAGGTGAGTGTGTTAGTGACCCAGGAACGTGTTCTCAGTGAACGTTGTTCTCAGCTCTTCACATTCTGGGACTAAGTTGGCGCTCCGTGTGTGAGTGTGTAGGTGTGTGTGTAGGTGTGTGAGTTCGTGAGTGTGTAGGTAAGTGTGTAGGTGAGTTATTGTGTGAGTGAGTGAGTGATTGGGTGAATCAGTGAGTGAGTGTGTAGGTGAGTGAGTTAGTGAGTGAGTGAGTTAGTGTGTGAGTTAGTGTATGAGTGTGTGAGTGAGTTAGTGAGTGAGTTAATGAGTGTATGAGTTAGTGAGTTAGTGAGTGTGTGAGTGAGTGTGTTAGTGACCCAGGAACGTGTTCTCAGTGAACGTTGTTCTCAGCTCTTCACATTCTGGGACTAAGTTGGCGCTCCGTGTGAGTGTGTAGGTGAGTAGGTGTGTGTGTAGGTGTGTAGGTGGTGTGTGTGTGAGTGTGTTGGTGTGTGAGTGTATGAGTTAGTGAGTGAGTGTGTAGGTGAGTGAGTGGGTGAGTGAGTGTGTAGGTGAGTGTGTAGGTGTGTAGGTGAGTGAGTTAGTGAGTGTGTAGGTGAGTGTGTGAGTGACCCAGGAACGTGTTCTCAGTGAACGTTGTTCTCAGCTCTTCACATTCTGGGACTAAGTTGGCGCTCCGTGTGTGAGTGTGTAGGTGAGTGTGTAGGTGAGTGTGTAGGTGAGTGTGTAGGTGAGTGTGTAGGTGAGTGAGTGAGTGTGTAGGTGAGTGTGTAGGTGAGTGTGTAGGTGAGTGAGTGAGTGTGTAGGTGAGTGTGTAGGTGAGTGTGTAGGTGAGTGTGTAGGTGAGTTATTGTGTGAGTGTGTAGGTGAGTGTGTAGGTGAGTGAGTGTGTGTAGGTGAGTGAGTGAGTTAGTGTGTAGGTGAGTGAGTGAGTGTGTGTGTATGTAGGTGAGTGAGTGAGTTAGTGTGTAGGTGAGTGAGTGAGTGTGTGTGTATGTAGGTGAGTGAGTGTGTGTGTATGTAGGTGAGTGAGTGAGTGTGTGAGTGTGTAGGTGAGTGTGTAGGTGAGTGAGTGTGTTAGTGACCCAGGCACGTGTTCTCAGTGAACGTTGTTCTCAGCTCTTCACATTCTGGGACTAAGTTGGCGCTCCGTGTGAGTGTGTAGGTGAGTGTGTAGGTGAGTGTGTAGGTGTGTGAGTTAGTGAGTGTGTAGGTGAGTGTGTAGGTGAGTGAGTTAGTGAGTGTGTAGGTGAGTGTGTAGGTGAGTGAGTTAGTGAGTGTGTAGGTGAGTGTGTAGGTGAGTGAGTGTGTATGTAGGTGTGTAGGTGTGTAAGTGACCCAGGCACGTGTTCTCAGTGAACGTTCTTCTCAGCTCTTCACATTCTGGGACTAAGTTGGCGCTCCGTGCACAGCGGCAAGGCGGAGACAGCTGGGTGCTGGCGTTGTTCGCAAAGTTGGGAGTGAAGAGAGTTCCTGGAAACATCATCAGCATCATCATCAGCATCATCATCAGTAGTATCAGCATCATCAGTAGTATCATCATCATCATCAGTAGTATCATCATCAGTAGTAGTATCATCATCAGCAGCATCATCATCAGTAGTATCAGCATCATCATCAGTAGTATCATCATCATCAGTAGTAGTAGCATCATCATCAGTAGTAGTAGCATCATCAGTAGTAGTGTCAGCATCATCAGTAGAATCAGCATCATCATCAGTAGTATCATCATCAGCTGTAAAATCATCATCAGTAGTAGTAGTATCATCATCAGTAGAAGCATAATCATCAGTAGTAGTAGCATCATCATGAGTAGTAGTATCATCATCAGTAGTGTCAGCATCATCATCATTAGTATCAGCATCATCATCAGTAGTATCAGCATCATCATCAGTAGTATCAGCATCATCATCAGTAGTGTCAGCATCATCAGTAGTATCAGCATCATCATCAGTAGTATCATCAGTACTATCAGCATCATCATCAGTAGTGTCAGCATCATCATCAGTAGTATCAGCATCATCATCAGTAGTATCACCATCAGTAGTGTCAGCATCATCATCAGTAGTAGTATCAGCATCATCATCAGTAGTATCATCAGTAGTATCAGCATCATCATCAGTAGTGTCAGCATCATCATCATCAGTAGTATCAGCATCATCATCATCAGCGCATCATCATCATCAGTAGTATCAGCATCATCGTCAGTAGTATCAGCATCATTATCAGTAGTATCAGCATCATCGTCAGTAGTGTCAGCAGCATCATCATCAGTAGTATCAGCATCATCATCATCATCATCAGTAGTATCAGCATCATTATCAGTAGTATCAGCATCATCATCATCATCAGTAGTATCAGCATCATCATCAGTAGTATCAGCACCATCATCAGTAGTATCAGCATCATCATCAGTAGTATCAGCATCATCATCAGTAGTATCAGCATCATCATCATCATCAGTAGTAGTAGTATTATCATCAGTAAAAGCATAATCATCAGTAGTAGTATCATCATCATGAGTAGTAGTATCATCATCAGTAGTGTCAGCATCATCATCAGTAGTATCAGCATCATCATCAGTAGTATCAGCATCATCATCAGTAGTATCAGCATCATCATCAGTAGTGTCAGCATCATCATCACCATCATCAGTAGTAGTAGTATCATCATCAGTAGAAGCATAATCATCAGTAGTAGTAGTATCATCATGAGTAGTAGTATCATCATCAGTAGTGTCAGCATCATCATCAGTAGTATCAGCATCATCATCATCATCAGTAGTAGTAGTATCATCATCATCAGTAGAAGCATAATCATCAGTAGTAGTAGTATCATCATCAGCAGTAGTAGTATCATCATGAGTAGTATCAGCATCATCATCATCAGTAGTAGTAGTATCATCATCAGTAGAAGCATAATCATCAGTAGTAGTAGCATCATCATCAGTAGTAGTAGTATCATCATGAGTAGTAGGATCATCATCAGTAGTATCAGCATCATCATCAGTAGTATCAGCATCATCATCAGTAGTATCAGCATCATCATCAGTAGTATCAGCATCATCATAGTAGTATCATCATCAGTAGTATCAGCATCATCATCAGTAGTAGTATCATCATCATGAGTAGTAGCATCATCATCAGTAGTGTCAGCATCATCATCAGTAGTAGTATCATCATCATCAGTCATATCAGCATCATCATCAGTAGTATCATCATCAGTAGTATCAGCATCATCATCAGTAGTAGTATCATCATCATGATTAGTAGTATCATCATCAGTAGTGTCAGCATCATCTTCAGTAGTAGTTTCATCATCAGCATCATCAGCACTATCATCATCAGTAGTAGAATCATCATCAGTAGTAGTATCATCATCATCAGTAGTAGTATCAGCATCATCAGTAGTAGTATCATCATCATCAGTAGCAGTATCATTCATCATCATAATCAGTAGTATCATCATCAGTAGTAGTAGTATCACCATCATCAGTAGCAGTAGCATCATCATCATCAGTAGCAGTATCATCATCAGTAGTATCATCATCAGTAATAGTAGCATCATCATCATCATCAGTAGTAGTATCATAATCAGTAGTAATATCATCATCATCATCAGTAGCAGTATCATTCATCATCAGTAGTATCATCATCAGTAATAGTAGCATCATCATCATAATCAGTAGTAGTTTCATAATCAGTAGTTAGGTATTGGTGAGTGAGTTGGTGAGTTGGTGAGGTGGTGAGTGAGTAGGTGAGTGAGTTGGTGAGTGAGTTGGTGAGGTGGTGAGTTGGTGAGTGAGTTGGTGAGTGAGTTGGTGAGTGAGTTGGTGGGTGGTGAGTGAGTGGTGAGTGAGTTGGTGAGTGAGTTGGGTGAGTGAGTTGGTGAGTGGTGAGTGAGTTGGTGAGTGAGTTGGTGAGTGAGTTGGTGAGTGAGTTCGTGAGTTGGTGAGTGAGTTGGTGAGTGAGTTGTGGGTGAGTGAGTGAGTTGGTGAGTGAGTTGGTGAGTTGGTGAGTGAGTTGGTGAGTTGGTGAGTGAGTTGGTGAGTGAGTTGGTGAGTTGGTGAGTGAGTTGGTGAGTGAATTGGTGGGTGGTGAGTGAGTGGTGAGTGAGTTGGTGATTGAGTTGGTGAGTGGTGAGTGAGTTGGTGAGTGGTGAGTGAGTTGGTGAGTGAGTTGGTGAGTGAGTGAGTTGGTGAGTGAGTTGGTGAGTTGGTGAGTGAGTTGGTGAGTTGGTGAGTGGTGAGTGAGTTGGTGAGGCCTGGTGAGTGAGTTGGTGAGTGGCCTGGTGAGTGAGTTGGTGAGGGTGAGTGAGTTGGTGAGTTGGTGAGTGGTGAGTGAGTTCGTGAGTGAGTTGGTAAGTTGGTGAGTGAGTTGGTAAGTTGGTGAGTTGGTGAGTGGTGAGTGAGTTCGTGAGTGAGTTGGTAAGTTGGTGGGTGGTGAGTGAGTTGGTGAGTGAGTTGGTGAGTGAGTTGGTGAGTGGTGAGTGAGTTGTTGAGTGGTGAGTGAGTTGGTGAGTGAGTTGGTGAGTGAGTTGGTGAGTTGGTGAGTGAGTTGGTGAGTGAGTTCGTGAGTTGGTGAGTGAGTTGGTGAGTGAGTTGGTGAGTTCGTGAGTGAGTTGGTGAGTGAGTTGGTGAGTTGGTGAGTGAGTTGGTGAGTTGGTGAGTGAGTTGGTGAGTGAGTGGTGAGTGAGTTGTGAGTGAGTTGGTGATTGAGTTGGTGAGTGGTGAGTGAGTTGGTGAGTGGTGAGTGTGTTGGTGAGTGAGTGAGTGGTGAGTGAGTTGGTGAGTTGGTGAGTGAGTTGGTGCGTGGTGAGTGAGTTGGTGAGTGACTGGTGAGTGAGTTGGTGAGTGAGTTGGTGAGTGGCGTTGGTGAGTGGTGAGTGAGTTGGTGAGTGAGTGGTGAGTGAGTTGGTGAGTTGGTGAGTGAGTTGGTGAGTGAGTTGGTAAGTTGGTGAGTTGGTGAGTGGTGAGTGAGTTGGTGAGTGAGTTGGTGAGTGAGTTGGTAAGTTGGTGAGTGGTGAGTGGTGAGTGAGTTGGTGTGATGTGGTGATTGAGTGTGAGTGACTGGTGAGTGAGTTGGTGGTGAGTTTGTGAGTGAGTGGTGAGTGGTGAGTGAGTTGGTGAGGAGTGGTTGAGTGAGTTGGTGAGTTGGTGAGTGAGTTGGTGAGTGAGTTGGTGAGTTGGTGAGTGGTGAGTGGTGAGTGAGTTGGTGAGTGAGTTGGTGAGTGAGTTGGTAAGTTGGTGAGTTGGTGAGTGGTGAGTGAGTTGGTGAGTTGTCAGTGAGTTGGTGAGTGGTGAGTGAGTTGGTGAGTGAGTTGGTGAGTGAGTGAGTTGGTGAGTGAGTGAGTGGTGAGTGAGTTGGTGAGTGAGTTGGTGAGTGGTGAGTGAGTTGGTGAGTGAGTTGGTGAGTGAGTGGTGAGTGAGTTGAGTTGGTGAGTGAGTTGGTGAGTGAGGGTCAGGTAGTGAGTGAGTTGGTGAGTGGTGAGTGAGTTGGTGAGTGAGTGGTGAGTTGGTGAGTTGGTGAGTGAGTTGGTGAGTGAGTTGGTGAGTGAGTTGGTGGGTGGTGAGTGAGTGGTGAGTGAGTTGGGGAGTGAGTTGGTGAGTGGTGAGTGAGTTGGTGAGTGGTGAGTGAGTTGGTGAGTTGGTGAGTGAGTTGGTGAGTGAGTTGTTAAGTTGGTGAGTTGTTGAGTGAGTCGTGAGTGAGTTGGTGAGTGAGTTGGTGAGTGGTGAGTGAGTTGGTGAGTGAGTTGGTGAGTGAGTTGGTGAGTGAGTGGTGAGTGAGTTGGTGAGTGAGTTGGTGAGTTGTTGAGTGAGTTGGTGAGTGAGTTGGTGAGTTGGTGAGTGGTGAGTGAGTTGGTGAGTGAGTGGTGAGTGAGTGGTGAGTGAGTTGGTGAGTGAGGAGTTGGTGAGTGAGTGGTGAGTGAGTGGTGAGTGGTGAGTGAGTTGGTGAGTGAGTGGTGAGTGGTGGTGAGTGGTGAGTGGTGAGTGAGTTGGTGAGTGAGTTGGTGAGTGAGTGATGAGTTGGTGGTGAGTGGTGAGTGAGTTGAGTGAGTGAGTGGTGAGTGAGTGAGTGAGTTGGTGAGGAGTTGGTGAGTGGTGAGTGAGTTGGTGAGTGAGTTGGTG